TTTATTCATGGATTTAACAATTCTTAATGTTAAACAGCAACGTCGACGCGTAATACCCATCAACATGGCGACAATGCGTAAAACTGCTCATGTCGATCAACAATTGCTAAAAATGTTATTATTCTACATTGTAATCTACATCTTTCTTGTGTTACCTTTTAATATCATGACAATATTGTCGAGTGTTCGTACAAGTATTAATTTGAATGCCACGTTTATTTTCGTTTATAACATATCTCGTTTACTCTATTTTCTAAATTATTCTGGAAGCTTTTTCATTTACGCCTGTTCGAATAAACTCTACCGAAAAGAATTTAAATCGATTATGAATACATTGGCGCAAGTCAACATTTTTAGTCGACATGAACACACTATGGAAACATCGATGGTAACAATTATAACAAAACAGTAGCAAAAGCTGAGATATAATCGAAGTAATGCCAAAAAGTTTATATCACTTTATCGCGAGAATGCCGTAAATCAAGATGATGGCCTGCGATGAACTCAGTGTCAATATTTCAGGAGTATTAAAAGTACTTGTGGTTAATCTAAAATAAAGGATAAAATGAAAAGAATTGGAAAACTTCTTTCTTTCAATAGAATGTATCTTCAAGTGTAGAAATAAAGATGAGTACGTTTTATTTTAGGTTTCTGCACTGTTTCACGTGTACACAACTGGGGAATTTTGAGAACATATTAATTTTTCTTTTCTTGTTCTGCACTTAAAACTATGTAGTAAAAATCATTCTCACAACGCAGAAAGATTTCTGGAAGAACTTTCAAAACTTTCAAAACCAATATTATGCGTTTTCGACGCAACTAGAATGTTCACCAACTGTTTCCATATTTTTTGCTGATGTGTTGGTGACATATCACCTCTTTTATTTAAATGTTGATCTAGATTATCACCCCCTAATTCCATTGTCAAATATGCGAAACCCGATCGAGGATCAAAATCAAAATCATACATTTGTACAATATGATTTGACTCTTTTTTTAAGCTAAACGACATTTGAATTTCTGTTGCAATCGATTCAATCAAACGATTGGGATTTGGATGCTGTTTCAAATCTACTGCTTTGATCGCTACTGGTACGCCTAAAATCAACTAATTAAAGGCTGTTGATGATTGAACGTTTTAAATGTCCTACACACCATTTGCAGTCACTGCTTGAAATACGGCTCCGATACTCCCTCTGCCAATGATGCCTATAATTCTGTATTTATGGCCATGGATATTGATAAACTGCGGTTGAGGAGCAGGTACTTCAGGCACTGACCACTCCTGCTCATAATTATTTTCTGTATAATCTTTACAAAAGAAGTAAATAGAAAATAATATTTTTTCATCAAAAATCAGAAAATTTGTACCTCCTAATATGTTACCCATCTATAAAGAATCTTTAGAAAATTGCACACGAAAAGGTGTCTAAGTTTGATTACTGGTTTGACGTGCAAGGTTTTCTCCTCTTTTTTTTGCACACGAAAAGGTGTCTAAGTTTGATTACTGGTTTGATGTGCAAGGTTTTCTCCTCTTTATATAACATATTACTCATTTTACCTGTACTTGATGTTCGCCATAGAAGAGAAAAAATCCATCGAAGCATATTCATACGCTTCCGATTCTACCACAGCTAATATATTTCGAACGCACAGAAAGGAGAAAAACAGATACACTTAAAAGCTAATGTCCCTAAGCATGATAATAAAAGTTATCTTTATACATTGTTTAAAATGATCAAATCAACAACTGACTGATAACTTGATTTTAGCACCAAATTTTTCATCGTCACCACTACCTATGCCGCATTTATTTTCGTAATACTGACGGTTACCGGCTGCTCAATAGATTACCGACGGTGAACTGTACCGAAACTGTACTTCAAGGAGAAAATCATCTTTTTATATTTTTGATTAAATTTACCAGCACCGATCAATACTTTCAGTATTAGTACCGTTGCATGCCTAGTAGCTAAGCATTTGATATTGAAACTGCAGCACCCTAACATCGTGAAACTTCGACAAAAATTTCCCCATGGGCGATGCTTTCGAGACGATATATCCAGTGGAATGAGTTTCCACTTTTTTCCGCTCTTAAACAGGCTCAGACGTTACATAAATATTTTTTTGTGTCTATTGTGTTCACGAACCTGCACAAATGTTTCGAACATCACAGACGATTTTTCAAAAACCGATGGTTTCTCAAGTTTTTTTTTTGACTTTTCTCAGTTTCAGCTCAACTTTTTATAAAGTTAGTGTTATATTCGACATCAGTTTGCCGATCTGCATCAGATAGTGTATAAAACAATATTATTCGGTAATATTGTTCTATCTGAGAAAATTGTTTCTGGTTGAGCAGTTTTTCTTTTCAATTTTTCGGTATATAGACCGAGTCGATATTGTCATCCGCCACATTTGTTTGCTCAATGACTTGTATTAGATGCTCGTCCCGATCCTTTTTGCACTCATGCAGTAACTGAATATTGTCAATTATTGTTTGTGACGATGGTGGGTAGAGGCAGCTTTCAGTTGTAACGATTGTTCCCACGTTAGATCAGTTTGACATAAGTCATCGATGCTCCTCCAGGGTAAAAACAATGTCAAAATGGCACGAGCGTATCGTTCTTTTGTGTCTTCTCGATCTTTTCGAGGGATCTGAGGTCCAGTTAGAACGGGTACAACAGTATCTGTTCGTTCGTATGATACTTTTCAGTGTTGAACTAGCAAATTCAGCGATAAAAATTATTTCTTTGAAAGTTACATAAATCGGCGAGCAAAAAATCCAATATCTGTATCGCGAAAACACATTGGCAGAATAAGTGCCTAAAAGAATTTTTTCTGAATTTCCCTTTTCCAAATTTTATGCTAAGTTAATATAAAATGAATTATAAGATTTTTGATATATATATAAGTTGTCACCCTTTCTACTCGTGTTGTCGACACAACACTTCAAATATGAAAATAATCCGAGTGGAAAGGGTTAATCTCTCACAGAGTCCTTCAGTAGCTGATGTCTTATTGAACCTTTGTAGAAAAAGACTCAATGAAAAGGTGCCGTGGAATGATAAGTTGATTTTGGTGACGTAATCTGTAACGTAATAAACCAATATCCTCGCATCTGAACCACTCCATATGAACTTTATGTCCATATTTGAACAACAAGCGGCGATTATAAATTTGTTGAAATTATTAATAGTTTCATGACTGGGTTTCTTTTTTGATTTGTCCAGTTTCAGCACTTATCGTTGTTTCTCGTACTTTCTTCCGAGAATTTTCCGAAGTTATATCATCTAAATTTTGAGAAGATACAAGAGTATTTTATTCTATACGTTTGAATCCTTTACTTCTTTAACTTGCGATAGCACACAAGCTACAAAATTCTGAAACCACACTAAATCTATTGAAGGTATTTAAGAGGGCGCTTCAAGCCACCTCTTTGCTCTACAATACTGGACCAGCTCAAAATCTCTATTTATATACTTTGGGTACTGTAGAATATTCCGAGGATCTATCCAGCGAGTAAACTTTGATTAAACGTATACATATATTCTCGCCACGTGTATGATTGACGACACGGACGGTTTTTTCTCATTTTAAACGAGACAAAAAACAGTGCCTGTTATATAAGGCACTTTATTTCTTAAAGTAGACTACTTTTATACTCGAACTTTTTGCATTTTACATCTTCTTCTTGAACCTTTTTAAAGTAGAACTAAGTCAGTAAAATAACCAATTTAGAGAGTAAGTACAATTTTGCTTCATTCATTTTGGGTATCAAAAACGGGTCTTCTTTCTCATGAAATGCAGCAAATACTTTCTCAGTGTATAGATTCAGTTAATGTTTGCTGTGTAAAGATCTCAAAATAAAGCTGCACAGAAGTGAGAAATGCATGAAAGGTTGATGTTATAATAATTGTGAGTATCCTCGGTGTAGCGGCGTAGCCAGGACTTCTTAGCAGGATGGGCTCAGCCCTGCTATTTTTCAGAAATCCAGAAACGGTGGTGTGAGTTTTCTCTAGCCTGTAGCAACATTCTTTAGAATATGATACTCTCTCTCTCTCTCTCAAAAATTGTTGACTTTCATTCAATGCACATCTGTCAGTAAGTTTTACAGATTTTCCGCCTCTATCCAAAATGTTGATACCTAAAATATCAAAGAACGTCGGTGTCAATCATTCGGTGACGAAAGAACCGTTTCTTTCTGGCTCTGCTAAATCTAGGACAAATCGGGCAATTGCATATGTTAGAAAACCTGTGTATAAAGAAATTATCATTCTCCAAGGTCTCTAAAGATGCGGACGTAGCCTGAAGCTTTAAAGACAACAGTTCGGTCTTCGAATGATCGATTTCATCCGCTGGAGAAAAATCTGCGATATTTGAACTGGAGGACAAAGCACGTGATCAGCTGCTACATAAATTGCTATAAACCGATGTCTGCGACTGTGAGCGCGATTTCGAAACACGAGGAACATCTACTTAAGAGATAATAATGCAACAAAATTTGTTTAACAGGTTAACCCAATGCCCATACCATTTTCACTGGACCAAACTAGCGCTGCACCTTTCGCCAACAGTCTTCGCTCATTCTGACTGACGATATCGTAATCTGAGAAATGCTGACTGAAAACTCTGCTAGAATAATCGCTAATTTTGTCGGAATCCAAGTTCAGAATATCACTCCACTGTTTCGAACTAGTCTGATCGGAAGGTAGACTGTAAAACGCAACTTTCTTACGACTTCGATCCATGTCTCCCTGTTTTCTTGGAGCATCCTGGAACGCAACAAGTTATTGGCATGATTTACACTAAAAATTCAAACGCATTTAGAGCTACAAATCTATAAATCTTTTTGGTACTTACACGGCAAACCAGCAGTTGCGGACAATAACAAAATGAACTACACTTGAAAGGCTAATATAACTTCGAAAATCTACTCGGACTCAGATTTTCGTGTCTACTCAGAAAGACTGCGTGCTGTGTAAAAAGTTAGAATGAAATTCAAATAAAATCAATACTACATGACAGGACAACAAAAGAACAAATTGATTTATCCTGATACTGTCAGATGCTTTGATATGAGGAAAAAGTGTGTATAACTATGAAATAGTACGTTACAGAACAGAAAAAAAACTACTGTATTGTAGTAAAACGTCAGAAGCCTATGAGAAAAGCATAGAAAATCGTTGAAGACCAAGATAAAGTCATTTCCATGCATCACATGCAATAAAAACTAGATAAAATACCGGAAGTATCGATAATAGTGAAAAAGAAGCTAAAATTTGCCTGAGGTTTTCTCGAAAACTCTTTAAAATTTGTTCAAAATCTTCTTTTAGACATTCAAAAACCATTCGGTTTGGTCAGCTCTTCAACTCTATCGATAACCATATCTTAAAATTCCATCACATGCTGTTAAAGTGCTGAAAAGGGAACTAAAATATAAATTTTAGTAGGTAGGTTTTTGAAAAAAAAAAATTTAGAAGTTAAAATAAAAATTTCAGATTATGAGCTGGAGAATCCGCTTTTTTTTAAAATGTAGCTCACTCAATTAAGTGTTTCTTTAAAAGAAATTATTTTCTGTAAATGGATGTGTGAAAAACCATGGTTTTTCATACATATGAAAGAGGTATGTCATAATCCTGATACGGTCCGTATCCTCGTTTCGAAACAGAAAAAACATGATACGACACTACTATATTTTTTCCAACATACCAGATTTTCATATATTTGAAATATTAGGGAATCCGTATCCCACTCTTCTTTTGTGTCTCTTCTTTATAGTTGAGGTACATGAGGATTCTGAGGGTTTTGCTGTATTACGGTATCCGTACCGTACTCTTATCTGTTTGTTGTATATAGGTGAAGGATATGAGGATTTTGAGGGCTTTGCTGTATTACGGTATCCGTACCGTACTCTTATCTGTTTGTTGTATATAGGTGAAGGATATGAGGATTTTGAGGGCTTTGCTGTATTACGGTATCCGTGTTCTCTGCTTGTGTGTGATCTCCGTTTAGCTGAGGGGTTTGAGGAGTTTTTGATTTTTGACTGTGTTACAAATTTTTGATTGGCAGTGCAATGGAAATTTATTTAATAAAATTGTTTTTGTTCAGTATTTATCATGGTCAGGTGGTGTGATATAGAGACAATCTTGCTTTTTTACAGTTTAGGTGGTTGAATAACAGTAGGTGGAAGATTTTACTTTTGGGTGCAGAGCTGGAAGAGAGTACGTTTTGAAAACGTTTTAGTTTTGAGTTTGTTTGTTCACAAATTTGATTGTTAATATGTTTGCCTTCATCGTATTTGTTTGGATTGGTTTGCGTTCGACACATTTTTCGGCTGTGGTTGCTGATATGAAATTTCTCCACAATTAAGGCTAATTTTGATCTAGAACATTAATTAGTAGTGGCAGGGTGGCAACATGGAATGGTGAGTAAAGAAGTATTCGCAGTATCAGTTCGTGGTGTCTTGGTTATTTTGCCTGCTTTAATGCGGCTGTTGAACGTTAGAAACAAACCACATGCGTTGTCATAAATTAGATATTTTCGCAAGGACCTGAATAGCGAAAGTGCGTATAAAGCAACTACGCCAGCTCGTTTCACTCGGTAATTAAAATAACTCACGATGTTGGTGTGAAGCGTTCAATTGTCGAAAGTAAGTGATGTAGTACACGTAGCGGTGCCTCCGATTTATAGAGCTGATGAAAGCTTATAATAATACCGCAATTATATATTGTCAATATGACCCATAAGAAGTCAACCGACTCGAATATCGATCCAATCCACAGAAATCAATTGAGTTTCGAATTAGACACGAAGCTTGTAGATGATTTACTGACCGAGACCCATTACAATCGATGTCATCATATTCTGCATCATCTAATACTTGTGGCTGCTTAGGGTTTTTCAAATGGAGATGAATCGGACAATAAGAACTATTAGCCCAATATCCAGGATTATCAGCATCGCGTACCATCTCCGGACGAATACCGCATCCCCATTGTATTTTACATAGAATACTGCATTGAGCTAGGAAAACTGTTTAAGAACTACGTTTTTGTCGATAAGCGATACCTAATTCGGGTGATGTTATCGTTTCTTCCGTAAATTTGCAGATGAAACGATCCGGTTTTTGAATTTCTACCACTACAAACTACGTGAAGAATTAGGAATTGCTTTGGAATTTTCATTCCCCACTAGTATTACAGCAAGCAAAACACTATAATTCCAAATCAATTTCACTACAAAATCGAAAATGTTTCAGCAGCAAAAGGACTTTTCTGTTCAATCTAATTTTTCTAATTGAATTTGCAACTGCGAAATTCATGATCACTTCCATTGTTCGATCGTGGCTCACACTCTTCCTCTAGTTCGCTGTAACCGTTGTTGCATCTGTTGATCCAGTTCATGTTGCTGATGTTCAAGCAACCCCCGCAACCTTGCCACCTTAGACTCCAGACGCTCCACCAAATCAAATATATCGCACATTCCAGAAAATACTCCAATCAAGAATTCAAGATTCATATCTGATACCACAAAACTCGATAAAATGCTTTCAACCAAAAAAGTCGTCAAGTGCAAACATCTCGCAACGATCGGGGCCAACGAAACAAAACCCAAGTTTCTTCGATACACTGCCGACTGAAGACATGTAGATACAGGGAAAGCCGCATAAAGAACATCTGTCTCGTTAACCAATATCGTTTCAACTTCCAGGACATTCGCAAGCTTTTAGTAGGACTCCCAACCAATAGCCGAGTACATCGGTCACCGTTTCACATATTGTGCACGTGAAATCCAACTATTCAGTTGAAAATAGTCGGCAGCTTTATTCAATGGGTAAGAATATGAGTATTTCAATGGATATAAGTGCTACTGAAGCTCAATAACAAACATATCATAATGTTTGGGTATTAATAGGCCAACGAAACAATACCCGAACTTATCCAATACACACTAAAATTCGATGCCGAGTGAAGACATGTATATGTGCACAAGAAGTGCTGATTAAGACACATCAGCTATTTAGTTGAAAATAGCAGGGTGTCAATCAGATCCGTTATTGCTAAACCCGTGAAACAGTACCCCAGTAAAATAGCACGTCCATAATGGCGCATGTTGATAGGCCGCCATTTGTGAAGTTTTCTATCAGAACTTTGATCTTTAAAATATTTGTTAAATGTACTAGAATACATGTATGAACAAAATTCGACAGATAATTCGGCAACATATTGCTGTCGAACATATTGTTTTTGTCGATTTCTGACATGTTTCATTCTACATTCAACATGATCAAACTGCTCATCACAATATCAGCCTCGTTAACCAATATCATTTCTATTTCCTAAACATGTACATTTTTCTATGAATTAAAAGCCCATGTTTCGCTTGATTTTCATCAATCTTCAGTTCTAGTAATGGATAACCAAAGAATATCCGTACTTTTGATTTGTATCATTTCTGTTTTCTTCTGAAACAGTACCCGTGTAAACTAGCGTGTCCGAAATATCGGATATTGATAGGCCGCCATTTGTGAGGTTTTCTATCAGAACTTTGATCTATAAAATATTTGTTAAATGTACTAGAATACATGTATGCAGAAAATGAGTATGAGTGACCTTTACGGTGGTTCGTATTGGTCGAAAGCATCATTTCCACATGAATGGATGAAAATGATATGGCGTGCGTAGTCGAGTATGGGGAATCGGAATGAGAGGCCTGTGGGAGCGACGAAATTTTGTTTTCAACTTCACTGGAAGAAAATCCTATCATGTGTGCAGCCAGCTTTAAAGAGTGCGGAAATGGCCATGAGACGCCTGTGGGCGCGATCCAGTTGGCTGAAATCTAGTTTTCAACCTGATTGGATGAAAATCTTATGGTGTCTGTAGTCGACCACAAAGAGTGCTGACATGGCCATGAGAGGCCTGCAGGCGCGATCCTGTTGGTCGAAATTTTCTTTTCAGTTTGTTTGGCTAAAAAGCATAAGGTGTGTGTAGTCGACGCTAAAGAGTGCGGCCATGGTCATGAGAGGCCTGTGCCAACAATCCTATTGCCTAAAACATCGACAAAGATACCGTATTACAGTAAAACCCTCAAAATCCTCATATCCCTCAACTATATACAACATACAGATAAGACTGTGAGTTAAAACTTCACTTTGATGAAAATGAGTCTGAGGTGAATGATTGATCCTGATTGCATTATATTCCCGAAGAGAAAACCGGGTAAAATATGGTGAAATCAGCGTCTCAACTATCTTAAGAAACATTCCTTTTAAGGGTACCCCTCCCCTCTTTTTGGGCTTTCCGTAGAAATGCTGTGAAATAAAAACTAAAAGTCGCTAGGGCTTCGCATTTTCAGAACTGATCGGAAACTCAATGGAGCACTTTTTCGTTCTTGT